AAAAAATATTAAAAAAATACCCAAGTGTGCCCTCTCTGTGACTTGAATCCTGAACCCTGAACCCTGAAGTTAATAATTAAAACAAAAACCAGCCCATTTAATATTAAACATTTTAATATTGTTGCTCATTATATTTATTTGAACACCACTCTCCATACTATATTGCTACTGTAACACTACTTTCCATCTAATATTAAACATTTTAAATGAGTCCTCCCCATCATTTACTGTCTCCTATGTTCAAAACTGAAGTTTAGTTTGCATGACATTAAGAAAATGTAAGGAAAACCTGTCTGTGTTGTTACATTGGAAGATGTAATCCAATTTTACAGCAGAAAACAACGTTTTTTAGGGGTCTGCAGGACTCAAGCCGCTTCTAGCAAACCATCATAGTGGTTTGTTTATAAAGACCTCTGTAGGAGTGGATTTTCGATTTGGGGTGTTCACAAAAGGCACCTCAAAAGCTAAGCCTACAGAGAAATCCATATTTATATTTTTATTGTTGGCGTATATATTAAAAGCGTATAGCCGCGCGGCTATACCCTTTAATATGTATCTCTCTTTTTGAATCACTTTGATTAGTAGTTAGGCTTTACTTAGTGAATATTAAAGGAAAAAAAGAAAAAAGAAAGAAGAAAGATTGAATTACTATTTATTAAGTAACATAATTCATGAAGTTAATGAAAATTTTTAATACTAATTATTCACTAAATAAATAATAATTAAAATATAATTACTAACTTAACTAGTTAGATAAAGCAAATATATTGTTTAATTACTAACAATAAATTTTTTTAAAAATTAATTAATCCAAATATCCTAAGTTTAGATTTATTTTTTTTAAAAGGACCTTTCCTGAGAAAATTTCGTAGGCGCAGGTCAACAGACCTCTCCCGACGAAATTTCGTCGGCACAGGTTTATTTGTCGCGAAAAACCTTATCCGACAACCTTTTGCCAGCATAGGTCTATGCCGATGAAATTTCGTCGGGAAAGGTGTTTTGTTTATTTTATTTAAATTTTCAATTTTTGAAATATAAAATTAGTTTCTTTACTTTTTGTTTTTGGCTAACCTCTTTAATTTAATATATGTAATTAAGTAATATCTTATTAGCCTTAATGTCTCCTATATTTCAACTATATATATATATATTACTTATTTTCATTTGGGTGTCTTAATTAAAGTTCTCCAAAGCCCAGGAGCCCCAAGGCCCAAGTCTTTGATTAATATAATTTTTATTAATCAGCGCCAAATCCAAAGCCGAGCCTATAGCCAAGCTAATTTAATGACAAAAGCATCAAAGTAAGATTAACAGGTGAAAACACTTAAAAATAAAAAATATTAAAAAAATACCCAAGTGTGCTCTCTCTGTGACTTGAACCCCGGACCCTGAAGTTAATAATTAAAACAAAAACCAGCCCATCTAATATTAAACATTTTAATATTGTTGCTCGTTATATTTACTTGAACACCACTCTCCATACTATATTGCTACAGTTACAATAATGATGATTAGTTGATAATTTTAAAAAGAAAGAAATAACTTTATTTTATTTTACAATGCAAGTGGATTTGTTAATTCTTGCAGAGTAAGATACAAAGGACCACCACCTCAAAGACTTCCACAAAATTCTCAAACTTTCTGAGCAAAAATTACAGGCACTGATAGTTCTAATCTAACTCATTAAAACCATTCGATCCCTACCATCTCTCAATAAGTGAAACAATGAGTCGCCAATTTAAAGAATATTATATTATAACTGTAAAGCAATGAAACCTCCTCACCAATGGTCATGCCTACGGTTGAACTTGTAAAAATCAAAAAATTCTCTACCTCTTCTTGTTTCTCTTTCTTCCCTTCACTTGTTTCTCTAAAGTTTTAATCCTTTGACTGAGAACTGATGACGATGGCGTTCTTCCATCTTGAACCTTTGATTGTTCAACAGGTGATGAGGTTGTATCCTGAGTCACTGCAGCGACTTGCTTCAGTGTGGATAACAGTGAAAATGCGGGTTGTGATCGTTGTGATGGAGGAGTACTGGGCAGCTGAGGAATACCCAAGGCCTTCTTCAGCCCAGAATACTTAAGCACTGAAATCAAAATGTAGAGTTAGTTATATGGGGAAAGGGGAAAAATACACCAGAACTTTCAGCACAATAAGTCTGAGATATTCTTTGGGAGAGAGGAGATGGGGGGCGGCTCCATTGTTCACAAAATATAATCTAGAAGGACTCACCCAGTCCATACCCAAGCGAAAACACGTTGGACGTAACCCAGTAACAAAATACAGCCTGCAGAGTTGAGAAAGACCAAGTAAAATATACCATTAGCCTGCCTTCAAAGTCTGATTGATAAACTTTGTCATCATGTGACTTTGGTTGATAACATAAAAGTGAAACAAACCCAAAACACAAACACATATGTAAAACAAAATTTAACCACCTTTCTTATTTCTGTGTAGGTAACTATCATTATTAAAACAAATAAAAAAAACCTCATAAGTGGTCTATATTGTGATCTTAAAACTACATGCAACTAAATAGGAGACATCTATGAGACCATTATTTGATTGTCTATCCTTATAAGAAATATATGAGACAATTCTTCGACTGTCCATCCTTATATGTAACTATGTGCCTTGCCATTGAAGGATGAATTTTCCTTGGAAATCCCTTTTATTCCATCAACCATATGATATTTTGGCCTTCAACAGCTTTAATGAGCATAGCTTTGCACAAAGATTAAGCAAAAGAACATATACCGTCTGAAAAGGTCCAAATCATATCTAGATATGAACCTCCACAGAGCTAATTCACGAAGAACATTGGACAGTAAAAGATCCTTTGAGGAACAAAAATTGATGGTGGAAGTCCTGGCAAATTACACATGATCCTCATGGGAATTGAACCCAGAATTCAGCCTCCACCCTGGTTAGGAGGAGGTGCCATTAGGCCCAAAGCCATTGGCGTGACAGTGCAAGATTTACTGACATCTATTATAGAAATGAATGGAGAGAAGCACAGAATATATCAGAAGCCACTAAAATTAGCAAAGATACCTTTGGAAAGGTCATGGTAAATGGAACTGTAAGAACAGCAAGGCCTCTTGAAACATTTTTCATGGTGCCAGCAGCAGGATTTCCCTCCATACCTTCTTGCAGATTGCACTAGAGAACAAACGTAAATAAATAAATTCTCAAATTGGTTTGACAGAATTTTTGAACCAATCTGATTGCACACACACCCACCCCCACCTTAGGTCTTTCCCTCTCCAGAAAAAAATATTTAAAAAAGCCTGAGAATGGCACAAAAAAGATAATAAACATTTCTTAAGCAACTAGGTATCAAATGTACCAAACCCCCTACAACTTGACAGACTATCAGGCCCAGGATTTACTAGCATATACAACTGGTCATATTCAAAATTGTTATCCTTTCCTGTATATTTAGAGTGCTTCTTTCATAGCCAAATTTAAGGAAAGCAAAAGCCTCTGTGGATCTAAACCTGTCAAAATTCACTCTTCTGTAAATAAGGAAAGATTTCAAGTGTTCAGTATGTATGCGACACTAGTTCATCAGGGAAAGTATCCCTTCTAAAATGAAACCAACAAAGTTGAAAAATATTATATGACAAAGCAGTTGGGTACCTCCACGGTTAGTAAGAATGTCAATGCTGCCAAAACTGGAAAAATGTACAAGCTATCTGGAGTTGTCAGATCAAGAAACCAGTAGGCGCCACCACTTTTAAAGGATGGCACTTTCTCAGCCATGTTACTTATCTGCCAAACCAAAACAAAGCTATTTCAGACATCAAAACACAAAATCTAAAATCAGACATCATCAGTTGGAAGATACTAAGAGAGAGATCTTACGGCAAGGAAAAAGCTGATGAAGACAGGAGCTTGAACAAAAATTCCCTTCATTGCAGATAATGGATGGACGCCATATCTGCATGCCCAAATCACAGTAACAAAATGAAAAAGCTCAGGAAGGAGAATTGGTAGTTGCATAAAGATACTTTTAAAAAGAAGATATAATATATATATATATATATATATATATATATATAATTAACTAAGCGATAAGTATTTATCCCAGGCAACACTGCACTGGATCTCATATTTTGTTTGTTAAATCATAATAAGGAAAACCTAAGTAAGGTGGAATGACACAAACAAGATTGCTTACTCCTTATATAGCTTCCCCGTTTTCTTTTGAAATTCAGCCACAGCCTCACGACCCATACCCTGATAAAAGAGAAAAGAACATCGATAAACATGCTTGAAAGAGTCATTTCTTAGTCTCCTGGGAGAGCTCAGTAATAAAATCCATGCCCATCCTTGCTATGAGCCTGGACAGTGTTCTCTTAAGTTGCCTAGTCGAAACATTCATTTCTTAAAGCACCTACCATCCTATTACATTTACTGTAGAAATTAGACAAGCACAACAAGACAGTGTCTATAATAGGACAAATTGCTGTTGCAAAGGTGACCTTGCTAATGCAACTAGATATGTCATAAAGCAGAGACATTAGATAAGCAACATCCTTGGTGGGAGAAAGCACACAAGAACCAGGCATCATACCTTGTCTTGCATCTCTTGCCTGTATTCCTCCAGTTGAGGTTTCATGAGCTGCAGAAAGCACACAAGTCAATAGAAGAACCAGTCTCTAGGCGAGGAAAGTAGACACTCATTAAAATACTCGAATAGTCACTTAAAGCTTGAAACACCAATAAAGCACTGAGAGGCTACCATCAAGAAATTCTCACTCTTAAGTGTAAGAAAGAAAGCAACAAGAGGTGGATTATACAAGTTTTAAACAGCAACAACAACAAAACTTACAGAGAGCTTTGACATTGCTTTAAGTTGATTAATTAGAATTGGAACTGTGGCCGTTCGAATCAAAAGAGTTGTTATTGCTATGGCAGCCCACCTGGAAAGTAACAAACAATAAAATACCTTCATAATGTAATACAATATCAAAACCAATCATATCAACTATATATGCTGGTAGACAAAACAAAAAATGTTCTGTGTAGGCAAATCATTTTACCCAATTAACATACAATTTCAGAAATTGGGTTCAGAAAATCAAATTAAACGGGCTAAATTCTTTTCCATTTAAGATCATTCACAAATTCAAAGATTGGCCTAAAGAAAATTAACAATTAAAAATAATCAAAAGCAATTAGCTTCTAACCAGTTCAAGCCAGTATAAGTATGCACAGAACCAATCAAGTACTGCAAGGCCTTAACCGGCAGCCACGAATCTGCGCTGGCAATTGCAATTTCGCTCATTGCCGAGACCTGAGAAGCCACGGCTTCCATCGTCGCGTCCGATACAACCCCCGATACATTACTTAACAGCTCTACCTTATCGGAACCGCCGCCAATCGCCGTCGACATATATCGAGAGCACGCGAACCCAGAACCGGACGAAAGCAGAGCATTTGAAATCCTCCTGTCTTGAGCAAAACCGGCAAAACCCGATACTCTGCTCAAATTGTTCCCGAAAAATCGCTTTTGGCTGAGAAAATGATTCAAATTCGGCGAAGAAGCTTGTTCAGAAACGACTTCGTGCTTGCGGTCGTCGTCGTGGAGAATGTGAGTAATGGACGGATGGTTCTGTCGTCGTCGAGCTGTAAAGCCCGCTCTGGTGGAGAGGCTTCTCCAGTAAGCCATTGATGTGTATCGATACGTCTGTCTGTGTATGACTAGCTCTCTATACAGAAAAGTTCAAAATAATTAGGAAGAAAAAAGGAATCTTTAAACCCTAATAAAACCCTAACAGAGTCTCGAAGACGATGGATTTTGAATCTGATTGAATTTGGATTCGCTTGATTGTCGGAGAGGTATTGGGCCGTACCTGAGAGAGAGAGAGAGAGAGAGAGAGAGAGGGAGGGAGAGAGAGAGAAACAGACAGTCCTAGATTCCTGTCTGAGAGTGTGAGCAGAGATCAATGGCGGTCTAGGTTTTTACACGGGTACAAGTTCGTTGGGATTTTAGTTGATCGAGGGCAAAATTGACATTCTCATTAAACTATCAGTCTGTGAGGCATTTTGAGATTTTACAACAAAAAAAAGTCAAGTATACTTTATTTGTTTTTCATTTTTCATCTTTTTCATTATGATTCATTTATTTTGAACATGGTTAGCGTGCTGAATGTAAACTATTGTGGTGTTCTAAGTGACTTTTTATTTATATTTTGTTTGATCGTATTTTGTAGCTTTTTAAAACAAAACGAGTACACATAAGGTCACGTTGAATCAATAAATAATTTGAGTTTATGTATGTGATGAATATCTGGTGATTCTTGAGTGTATAAGAGCCATGAGCAATACTATAAAATTTTATTTTATTTGCTTAAAAAAGCTCGGCACATCAAAATTTTAAAATGGAGAGTAAGATTAAGAGTAAGAATTTGTCTTCAATTATACAAGTGCCGCAAAGTAAATATTATTCCACATATTCCATTATTCTCATTACAATTCTTTCTTTTCACATAATTATTCCTTTCCCATTGCAAACGGTAAAGAACCGCATTAATTTAGAGTTCTGCTAAACAAATTCTAAAATTAACTGAGTACACCCTATGATCTAAGTACACCATAATATTTTAATTAAAATGTAAAATTAACTAAGTACACCCGATTTAATTACCAAAAATACCCATGGTGCACCCTAATACACTCTATTACACAACACAACATCCTAATACCAATCCTAAACCAGATTTCTTTTTTTACATGAATTCGTGTCCTCTTACAAAATTTTAGGTTTGCGTATCTGACTAATAAAACTAAAATCATAAACCAAGAAGCTGCAAAACCCTCTTGAAAGTAGCAAACCCAGTTTGTTCGCGAAAAGCCCCATCAAAATTGAGTTTTAAAAAACCCCGGGGGCTCTACCCCATTTTATTGTTGCACGAGCTAGGACAACACCCTTAGGAAAGTTGTGCTCCTGGAATTGGTGCAAGACCTTGCATAGCACAATTAACCACTTTCAACATCCCATGTCGGCTGCCTGTCCATAAAACCCAAGTCTTCTCATTCCAGATTTGCCCACAACACCATCAAAACTTGTTCCACCAACTCTTTAGATGAGTCACCAAACAGTTGCACAAGGGAACTTTTAAAATTCAGGTCGGCACTATTTTGTAAAAGCCTTCACCATAGACTAGTCTCCCAAAAAGCAGAAACAAAATCACATGAAATGAGGACGTGATGTAAATCTTCTAAAGCAGTTCCCCAAAAAATAACAATCTCTTTTTTTGTCATTTTATAATAGGGTAAATTAGTAATTTAGTAAATACTTTGATAGTAGGGTGTACTCAGTTAATTTTAGGGTTCGTTTAGCAGCACTCTTAATTTATTCAAACATTGCCTAACTCTTTAGCTCCTTCCTCTACATCTTCAGACCTTGTATATATAAGAAACCCAAAAAAATCAGTCTTTTCTATTCATGCATATACATAGATGACAAACTTAGCCAAGAATCCAAGACTACTTCCTGGGACAATCAATGTCGCTAGAGATAGGTGGAAGTTTTACAGAAACGCCGCAGCTATTAGGCAGAGCAGAAATGGGAGAAAAATCAGTAAGCCCCATCATACTAGCTGCGCCCTTGATACACCAACATATAGCCTCTCTATCTTCCTTGTCACTTGAATACTAGCTGAGGTACTTGACACCATCACAGCAAGCCGAAGGCGGCGCCACCTCAATTTGCAGCAGGTAAGAAATGCAGGGGCCCAACTGGTATGTGATGTCGGGGCACGAGGGTACAGGCCTTATGGCTGAAGCAGAAGCAGAAGCAGAAGCCAGCAAGAACAGTAGAAGAATGCCCAATTGATGAATCATATTTAGCCTTATAAGTTGCTTGGTTTGTATGATAGATGTGTTAGGGACGCTGATATTAAACACGTGTAGAGTCTTAGACTAGCTTCAAATTTTCAAAACGAAACAAGACACTAGGAAGTATATTTTGTTCATTAGAAAAAGAACAAAACCACATATATGTCATTGTCTGCACATCTGATGACTTAATATTGCCACAAAATTGCTGTCCCTAATCAATCGTTCGTTGCTATCGGTGTGGTGGATTTCGACAAAGAGGGCATGTTCCATTCGTCCTAAGCCACTCGTCCGCACAATTAATATGAAAGTAATGGTTGCAGTCAGGTATAACCCGTAGTGTTTCCTTAGGCTTGTACTCACACAAGCAAATTGGGCACATGTGGTCGTTGTGCTAGAGCAACTCCCAAGTCTCACCGAGCTCAATCTTGCGATATGACTCGATGATCGCATCAGCCAGACTGCTTACGGCTACGGGAGGTTGTCCATCTGTTATGTTGATTGACATATCTGTGGTGGGTTGCTGTTGCTGGAGAAGTGCATGAGCCCTGATCTTGTCACTAACATAAAATACAATCCCAATGATGCCCAGCAGCCCTGGAATTCCCACGCTTAATAGTATGGCATACTTTGCAGCCCTTGAGAGACCTGAAGAGACTGAATTTTATTTTATTTTATTTTTTTTGCAACATTATAGTATCTATGATATATAGGGATCAAATGTAACTTTATCCTTAAACTAAATGATAACTTACAAAATTTGGAAGAATGATCAAAGCCTTGAGCTGGCGAACTTGTAGGAGTTTCCAACCCGCAATGAAGATTCCTTGCTTCCCAAGAACGACAATCAGGCACCTCCCATTCCAGCTCAACACCAACCTCATTAAGGTCGTACCAGTCAAATGAATAGTAAGGAACCAAAGCCGTGGAAATGACAGAGCAAGGAGCCCATGACTCGGACGAAGTTGGCTCAAGAAGGACCTTGTATTGGTCATTACTGAGGCATGTGATGGGTGAAGCCCATTCTACATCTTTGTACGAGCAATTGAGGAACGTGTAGTTCTCAGTGCCGGTCGCGAAATCAAAGGGTGAATCTGTAAGATTAAAGTCATGTTTGAGAAACCTTCGAGGGAGGCAGTTATTGGGGTTGTTGACAGTTACCCTTTGGTCCTTGTAGTTGATGTTTTGGACGATGAAGTCCTCGGAAGACGGGAGAGTGAGAATTATGGTTTGCTTTTGGTTGTTGCAACTTGCATGAGATGAGATCAAACCCTGGACACCCGCAATGAGAGGGTTTGTGATTTTTGAGAAGGAAAGGGAATCGAAAGGATGGGGCATTGGCAGTGCATGTTGTTCCTGTGAGAATGTGAAGGTAAAGAGTCCCACATTGGAAAGTTGAGAAACCTAGCAAGGGCTTATAAGGAGTTGGGCTACTCCCCCCATTGCCAATTAGTTTTGGGGTGGAACCTCAACTTCCTTTGTGTTATCTGAGCGGGTTAGTCCACGTGCAGTGGCGGATCCAGGATTGTTACCCCATGGGGTCATAGTGTTAAAGTTTTGAATTTTTTTAAAGATAAAACCAATGCTAAAAAAATTAAAAAACATGCCAAACTTATTCCAATTAACAAAAACATCATTCAATAAATCAAGCCCATATATATATAATAACCCAAATAATAAAATATCTAGAATATTACAACAAAAAGAGCACAATGGGTGTTGAACCCTTGACCAAAAAGATTTTTTCAATTCAGAAGCCACTATAGTAAGTGATATCTTTACTCTATTTATGTATACTTTTAATATTTATATGTCTATCCAACATAATTATAAAAATATTTTAAAAAACCCTAACAGATCTCTTCCCTTTTTATTATTATTTGTGTTTGCAGTGCCTTCTTCTTCTCCTTTTTTTTAGTCGAAATCTATCTCAATCACAGTCTTCTTCCTCCCTCTCTCTCTCTCTCTCGTCTTCCTCTCTCTTTCTTCTCCCTCTCAATCACTGTCTTCTTCTTCTTCCTCCCTCTCTCTCTCTTCTCTTCCTCCCTCTTTCTTCTCCCTCACAGCTTGCATATCTTCTTCTTCATGGGGTCATCTCCCATGGCTGCCAAGGCCAACAAGGGACCTCTAAGCCATTTCCAGGTCTACCATGGGGTCGTCTGACCCCATTGACCCCATGGTGGATTCGCCACCGCCCACGTGTGAAAGCCCAACGACCACACGTGCTCCACGTCACCCAATATGTGTTGAACACGTGTTAGGCTTGAAAATTCGCCACACATGTGGGGGCGTGTGAGAATATGAAGGTAAAGAGTCCCACATTGGGAAGTTGAGAAACCTAGCAAGGGCTTATAAGGAGTTGGGCTACTCCCTCATTGTCAATTGGTTTTGGGGTGGAACCTTAACTTCCTTTAGTTCCACCACCACATTTGGTTGCTGCTTTTTGATGAAAGGAGAAGAAGAATAAGAGGAAGGCCATATATAAAAATAAGCATGCACTTGCACACATCAAAAACTGGCAAGAAAGAATCCTTGTACGCATCAAAGATCAGCTTTCTTATCGGAACCTTCGCTAATCGCCGGGGGAATATACTGAGAGAGAAGGCTAATATATATTTGAAAAATCAAATGTTTTATTTATAAGTTAAAATTACGTTTAAAACTAATTATATATTCATATAGGTTATAGTTTTATATATATTAATATATATATATATATATATAATTATTTGACCTTATAGTTATTACTTTTGTGATAAATTAATAGGAATATTACTATCTGTTTGAGTTAGGGAATGCCACGTACAAAGATAATTGCATAGAGGGAACTTACCACTCTAGTTTCTTCACAAGTGTAAACTTAGATGACTAAACTTTTACCTAGATGACTAAGCTTTTGGTTAAAGCATGAGCTGTTGGCATTAGGAGAAAGTGGGATAATCTAGGAAGTCAAGCATATCATCAAACCTACACTACACCAATCACAAACCATCAAGTTGCCGCCTTTCACTACTATAAATAGGGACCAATTCCCTTAACTTGTTTTAAACAGCATGCATAGTAATGCATGATAGAAAGAAGAGGAAATATTAGAAAGTGTAGAACAAGAAATTCGTTGAAGGAACTCGAGGTGTTTTGAACTTGCAACTGGGAGTTACTCAATAGCTTTGGATTTGAGGTAGGGGTTCTTTCTTGGGGAGGTTTTGCATAAATTGATTTAATTAAATATTGTGAACACTATATTATGCTTGGTAATATTGTTTGATTATTATCCTTGATATTGGGTGTTTACGTGATTGTCAATTATCATTATAATTTGATTAATATTGACATGTTCATATGTTGTCGGTAGTAGTTGAAATTTTTGGGTTGATAAAGAAATTATGGAAAAGAGGATAATGGGAAGAATTTTTTGTGTAGTTGAGTCTAACCATTGTAGGGACCAAGTTCAGGCGAGCCCGTGTGCACAGTAGATTAGGAAATCGGCGGTATAATTGTCGATTGGGTGATTTGGGCTTGGAGATCAATGGTATGGACAAGATGACTAGCAAAAGGGGAATTATGGGATGATTGAAATGGGTGTTAGTTTATATAATGGGGCATTCAGAATCACAGTGGTAAAATGCATGGTATGGGACATGCAGATTTGCTTGCCCTATTATATAGATTAACGGGTTGGGTAGAATTGAAGTTCATTCATACATTGCATAAATTGTACATTAAAAATCTCACTAATCATATAGGGCCCCTACTGAGCATGTAATGCTCACCCCTTAATGAATTTATTGCAGGTTTTGATTCTGAAGTTTAGTTGTGACAAGGAAACAAGAAGATTGAGTTGCAGATAGTTTTGGATGTTTTGTTAAGAGTCTGTATTTTTTTGTTATTTTGCTTGTAAAATCACAATGTAAATTACTTTGGTTTAAATAGAAGTTTATGTTCAGTTCTCTTGTTTCTTGTTATTTAAATTTTTAGTTTTAGTTTTTCTTTTACCTCACACTCCCAATAAATAAATAAATTAATTAATTAAATAAGTAAATAAATTGGGGTGTGACAGATGATGTAATAAAGGTAATATTTAAGTTAGTGATTACTTTACGAAGGAAAAAGAAATACAGAACAATCATGTCTAAATCACAGGACTTATTATTTTGCTAGCCTCTGGTGGATTTCGACAAAGTGGGCACGTCGCATTCATTTTGAGCCATTTGTCTATACAACTAGCATGAAAATAATGGTTGCATTCTGGCATAGCCCTCAATGTTTCCTTGGCCTGGTACTCAGCCAAACATATTGGGCAAGTGTTGTCATTGGGATATGGCAGTTCCCAAGTTTCACCAAGCTCAGTCGTGGGATATGACTCGATGGTCGGACCATCAAGACCCGATATTGCGAGCACCGGAGGTTGCCGATTGGGTACATCGGCAGATACGGGTTGACGGAGCTGATCAGGAGCCCTCATCATTTTGTTGTGAAAATAAAAAGAAAGCCCAATGACGCAAAATAGCGCTGGAATTCCCACCCCTATCATTATGCCGTTTTTGGCAGCGCTTGAAAGACCTGAAGGACCTGAAGGACCTGAAATTGGAAAATTGAATTGCATTAATTTTCCTTAGTTCATTAAACCAAATTTTCTGTAATAATATTTAGGCGATGGTACATAGAAATATATATATATATATATGTTCAATTATACCTGATTTTGAATGCGGACATATAGTTTGTGAACTTGTAGCATTGTCCAACTCACAAATTATACCGTTTGCTTCACAAGAACCACAATCAGGCACACTCCAAGCCAACTGGAGACTAGAGCTAAGATATCCCTCAACCAAACTTGGTGGAACCAAAGTTGTCGAAATCACAGAGCAGAGAGATGATGACGATGCATGATTAGCCGTTGACAATGACGTTGACCAACCCGATGACACGACAATGACGTAGTAAGAGTCACTACTGAGGCAAGGGATGGCTGAAGGCTCTGTTGTTTGGGATGCTGAGCAGTTGAGGAAAGTGTATGTCTCAAGGTCCTGAGCAAATAAGAAGGGTGTACCTTGAAGACTGACGTCATGGTCAAGGAACCGCTTAGGGAGGCAGTTATCGGGGTCGCTGAGCCATACGGTTTGGTCCCTGTAGCTGATGGTCTTGACGAAGAAGTCCCCGGAAGATGGGAGAGTGAGAATGGTTTGGTTGTTGCATGAGAGATCAAACCCTTGATATCCACAACTGGAGGGTTGAAGGTTTCTTAGCCAGAAAGGAAATCGAACCCATGCGCCGCCCGGTGTGCATGTTGATTCAACACAGTTGGTAGCGCTTGCTACTTTTTGAGGGAAGAAGAAGAAGAAGAGGAAGCAGCAGCATAAGGAGATGGTGAGGATTGCTAAGGGAGCCATGTGAGTGAAGCATAGGTGATCAAAACTAGATTATATTTGAATAATGACCGGCCAGTCATGATTGTGACAAAATAAACCACATTAGTAATACATATAAGGATAAAATGTCTGCCATCAAACACACACGTACGTATCCACCTCACCCCATATATTATCTACTAATCAATCACAATAATGCTTTGACTAACATAAATTGTGGTACAGAATCACAACGAGACAAAAAATAGATCAATTTCTATAATGAAGAGGAAGAGTGTTGGAATAACGGGTTGAAATAACGGATGAACCTCGTAAAAATCTTGTTTTCTACAAGTATATATTATTTTTTGGGTAACGTAGTTTGCACGATTATGGACGGGTCTTTGATTTGATTTACATGGATCAGATATGAGTCAAAGTGCGGACAATAATTTATTAATAATTAATGTATAAAGTAATCAGGTTCTGAAAATAAAGGTTGGCTTTTTCTTTCATTTCAAATACTAATACAAAATAAAACAATTAAAAAAATTACAGTTTCAAAATTTCAGACAAAGAATGCTAAGAAGTAAAATCAAAATGAAAAAACAAAATAATCATGCACCAGTAGTCAAATGACTTATTTTGTTTCCCTTTGAGGGGTTTCGACAAAGCGGGCACGTCGCGCTCATCTTGAGCCACTCATCTACACAATTAGCATGAAAATAATGGTTGCACTCTGATATGGTTCTCAATGTTTCCGCCGGCTTGTACGTGCCCAAACATATTGGGCAAGTATTGTCATTAGGCTTGGGCAATTCCCAACTCTCACCAAGTTGAGTCTTGGGATATGACTCGATGGTTGCATCGTCAAGGCCTATCCTGATTACCAGAGGTCGTCGATTTGTTACGGTGGATAGCTCTGTCATGGGTTGGTGTGCCCGGCGAGAATCCCTCAGTTGAAGTACAAGTGCAACGACAAAAATTATTGCTATGATTCCAGTGAATGTCGTGAATGCGTAATTTGCAGTTCTTGAGAGACCTGAAAAAGGTTGAGAAATTGCAACATTGTGTTGCATTAATTCAATTAGTTCATGGTCAAGTATATGACAATATTAATTAGGTTGAAATTACTAATAAGACAATACCTTTTTTTGAAGAATAAATACTAGAGCACTTGAGCTCCGAGCTTTTACCATCCTTGAACCCACAAACGTTACCCGATTGTTCACAAAATCGACAATCAGGCACATCCCATGCTAACTCAAAATAATAGTTAAGCAAGTCCCAGCCATCAGACTCAAATGAACCTGAGAGTGGAACCAAAGCTGTGGAAATCACAGAACAAAGAGAAGGAGCAGAAAAATTAATCGATTTCGACGGCACACCAATGACCTTGTAGAGCTCATTGCTAAGGCAAGAAATAGATCCATGCGATGTTTCTACTTGGTAGGAGCAGTTGAGGAACGTATAGTTTTCTAGGCCATCGACGAATGAGAAGGGTGAACCTATTAAACTGAAGTCGTGTTCTAGGAACCGCCTCGGCAAGCAGTTAGCGGGGTCAGCAATCACTAGTCTTTGACTCAAGTAGTAGATTCCTTGGACGATGAAGTCCCCGGAAGATGGGAGAGTGAGAAGGGTTTGACTTTGGTTGCTTTTGTTGCATGAGACATCAAACCCTTCATACCCACAACGTGAGGGCTCTAGGGTCTTTAGCTGGAAAGGGAATCGAATCGGAATCGATGAGATATAACTAGAAGAGCATGCCGATTCGGCACAGGCAGAGGCGCTTGCTGTGCCAATGTGGTCAGGAATGAAGAAGAAGAAGCAGAAGAGGAAGATGATGATCAAGATTTGTAAGGTAGGCATGGTATAATGAAAACAAGATTTGTCTGGTTCTCCCTAGTCCCAAATATATTATATACAAAAATCAAATCAAATATCAAACTCCGTCACAAATTAAGAAAAAAATAATGTTGTGTTAATATACTCCGTTAGACTGGCTTCAAGAAAATCACCAAGACCGAATGAACTTTCTTATTTTGCATTTAAAATTTCAATTCACTAAGCAAAAGTAACTTTTAGCGCTTGCTTTTATCTGAGGAAGGAACTAGCTTATATACGAAGATTACATTTGTCAGGTAATGAACGGCCAATCTTGATTTTGACAATACACACCCAATAAAACCACATCCTTTGCGTTAATCACATAAATTAATTAACAATCAAATGTCTTCCATCTCACCCAAAAATGTATTAGAGCACTTCCATCCATTGTGCGATGGCAAAGGGCATGGGCAAGTAAGGGCAGACACCATTCATGTGAATAGTGACTGCCCTAGCAATTTTTTTGATGCATTCCCACCCATTGCCATGGCAATCCAATGGTAACCACTATTCACATGGGATATGAGAAGAGGAATTTGTATGAATTTTGGTGTGTGAAGTGAAGAATATGACTAGGTATTTATAGAAAAAAAATTCTGAATTTTTTTGGGTATATTTTCCTCTCTTATTTTCAATTTTTTTGGTATTTAAATTGATCACTAACATCACACTGACGTCAACTTGCCCAAGCAGCAGCCTAGGCAAATCTTGCCTTCGAGCTTGCCAGTTTCATGGCCTACTTCTTGTCATGGCAATTTTTTCTTGAGTGAAGGTTGTTTGTAGGCCCCTTGACAAAAGGGGATGAAATGGAAATGCTCTTATATTCAAATGAAATGACAAGCATACTCTCACTACTTCATGTAAGTTGTGGTACAAACCGAAAAAGGAAACAAAAGTAGATCGAACTTTATAATAATACTAAAATGAAAGACATGAGCAAGTGTTGAGATTATATATAACTTATAAGGGAGAATGAGTACTAGTGCACAAAAGATCTTAAGTCGATTTATTCGTTGTAAATTGTAAATTGATTTTGAGTTAGATGTTGTTTCTATCAGCGCTAGTAATATTAATTCATAAAAAATAAAAACACGAGATAAATGTTGTGCTTAAAAGGCACAAAAAAAAAAATAAAAATAAAAATTGGCTTCTATAATATCTTTCATTTCAAATACTAATCTAAAGTACAGCTTCAAAAGTTGCATACAAAGTAATTATAAGAAGTACATTTAAAAACACAAAAGAATTATATGTCCGTTTAGCGTATTTTCTTCTTCTTATTTCAATTTCTAAACTACAAAATTACATAGATCTCTTCCATTGGTCGTTCTTTTTTTTTTTTCGTCGTCTTTTCTTTGCCATTATCCCCCCATTCGAGGGATACCGAATAATCATGTCTAAATGACTTTTTTACCCAAAATCAATTTTCAACGAAGCTGAAACAGGGGATAAATGGTTCTGTTCCTACAGAGCCGTTGGATCGTTTTTTTTAAAAATTTCAACGGTCAGGATATTAGTTTGGAGAATCATTTCTCAACGCTTTTAGGGTTGTAGTTTCTGTTCCACCTGTATAAATAGGATAGCATAGAGATACCAACCGCCGTTTCTAAACCAAAATGGAAACCAAGTCTCCTCCCTATCGAGGGAAGATGCAATAAGTCCAGATCTTCAATCTTCACAAGGTATTCTTTCTTTTCTGCTCAACCTCAGTATTTCAATTGATTTTATTGAATACATTGGAGATAATTCTTGAGTACATAATTTGAGATCTATTGTAATAGATACACGTGTGAACTTGGTTAAGCTTTATCTTAATTGTTTATGTGAAAATGATTCATATGATGTAAAAAACTTTTTTTCTTTGAAGAAAAATGGTGTAGGTAGGTAGGTAGGTATTTAAATATGGTTAATGATGTGGGAGTTGATGAGAGGTAACATTTTTATTGTTACCACAAGGGTTTCTCATGGAAGTATTCTTTGGCTTTGGTTGTTGCAGAAACAGTTGTATGATATTAACAATGTGTGTGAAAAACTGATGTTGAATGGGTTCTGGGGGACTGTGTTATGACACTTTTGAGATCGCACTTCACGAATGGTAACGAAGAGTTGATACGGATTAAATTATTGATCTTGCCAATCGCATTGAGTTTATCAGGATCAATAATTTGACGAGCATTTGCGTTTTGTAACCATTCATAAGGTGTGATGTCTAATGTGTTGCAACACATCCCCCACCATCCATTCATCATCATCAAACTTTTGGACATGTTGTTGACATCCATTTCTGTACATCCAAGGGTAAAAGGATATTCCATTTGAAATTTATGGGGTACATTTAAAAATCCGTTCTACCGTATCGTCATCCATCCTCGGATTACTCATGTTTAGACACTTTACATTTCTACCTCCACCATTTCTCTTAGAGAAAAATTGTACACCATATCACAATCTTTTGCGTAAATAGTTGATATGAAATTTGTATATATGCTCACCGTTGCCCATTACAATGGCCCTTGAATTATGTTATTGAGAAATTTGCACGAGTACCATAAGAAGCTAGTAAGATGTTGATCAGTGATGGTGTTGTCAATTGCAATTAGAGGTACCCTTAATTTTTGCAATCGTTGCTTAAAAGAATTGTTTTTTATTTATTTTATAGTTTTTAGCATTTCTTGTTAGAACCGCTTGTACCAAAATAAAAAGGTGAAAGTGTTCTTTTTGTTTACAATGTGGTTCATTATTATTTCTTTGTTGAGTTTGCTAAAACTAAAAAGATAATTACAACCTAAAACCCCGTGGGCTCTTAAGGCACAAAGAGATTTGATTTAACCCCCCCAAAAAAAAAATCTAAAATATGAGTTTATTAAAGTTAGCGAGGAAGGAAGAAGCATATACGAAGATGGTGAAGATTTCTAAATTCTAAGGTAGCAATAAACCACCACGTCCTTTTCATTATTAAAAGCATATAGTAATATTTGTAATGCATAACAATCGAATGTCTGCCATCTCACCACAAATATGTTATATACAAAATCAAAATACAAGCATACCTTGACTAATGTAAATTATGGTACAAATTTAGAAAGGAATCAAAATATAAATTGTATCGCTCGCTCATGTTATACGTGAATTGGTAACATCACATGAAGTCATCGTGGTCACTCCAAAACAAATTCTCCACTTGATTAGAGTTCGCCTCTATCATTTTAGAGTACTGGTATAAAATACATTTAGTATTACAAATTAATCTAATGCTAAGTACACTAAAAGAAGACTAAAGAAAAGAAAGTACATTCATGTAACACAAATTCCTCCGTTCTTTAAAGTTTGTTGATTAATGCATAATTGTGTTTCATTTTGTATCTTTTTAGCTTATGATTTGGTTATGATTTTTTAATTAAATTTGTGCTTTTAAGATAAGGCAGCTTAAAGTAAAATTCGAAAGCATCTGTGGTACTGTACCAAAAATAATAATTTTTTCCTTGAAATGAGGTATATATGGTTGGAAAAAGAAGACAGAGAGTTTTAAGAGGTATATGTGGTACTGTATTAACGTTTTCGCTGGCTTATCATTTATTTTGGGCTTATATTAGTGTGGTGAAAGTTTCCGTTGGAGTTTGGAAGGCTAAGTTGTCATGCTCCCAAGGTTGCTTTGTTGTGCATGACCTATGTATAAGATAATAGTTTTTGATTGGGAAGTTAGGTAAAGCTGATGAAGTGAGTGTTGTATGTAAATGCAATATTCAAATTAGATTTTTCATTCCATTATGCTTATAAATAGTGAGGTTCTCCAAGCTTTCAAACACACTACAAAGGGGGAGCTCTCAAACATCTCTCTAGTAATTTTTATAATACATAACAATCCTTTTACTAAATTTTCCTATATGTTTCTCTTAAATGTATTTTATTTTTCATTAAGCTCATTTCCCTTGTGGTGTTTATGTAAGCTTGGAGAACCTCACTATTTATTGGCATAAGAGAAGGAAATATTCGATTTAAGTATTGCCTCTACCTACAACACACACTTCACCAACTTTATCTAACTTTCTCACAAAAAACAATTAGGTCATGCATAACCAAACAATCTTGTGAGCATCACAACTCCAAATGAAGACTTTGACTACATTAAATTGAAGCCTAGAAAATGAACTAAGGTTATTTCTCCTTGATTGCTCAGCTACTAGTTCAGTTTTGACAGTGAATGCAATGCAATTTGCTTGTTGGCATGTTTTGGGCTCGTTTCTTCGTTCATAAAATTCTGAAAATATGGATCTTCAAGCTTTTCATCTTGTTTTTCTAATTATATGTTGATCATCTCAAGGAAAAATTGCAAAGGCCTTCAAATATTATTTTTGGAACAGTAATGCAGATACTTCCAAATTCACCTTAAGTTGCAGTCTTGAAATACTGCTTTGATTGTAATAACCCGATTTTAAATTAATATTTACTTAATTCAAGTAAAAGACATTTTTTTTTTGGGAATATTTTAATGGTTTAAAAGTTGACTTTTTGTTTGGGAAGGAATTTGGGGATTTCAGTTGTACCGTTGTGTAAAGCACGTTGAATTGAGTCCGTAGACACGTAGTGGGCTCAAATCAGAGTTATAACGAAGAAGTTATGATATACGGAAGTTTAGTGGCATAATCGTAAATATTTTGAAGTTTAGTTTTTAAAAAACCAGAATTTTCTTCTTCTTCGCGACCTCCATGACCAGCTAACTTTAGACAGAGATTTCTCCTCCGTCCAGCCACCAATTTCGACGTCACAACTTACAAACTCTTCGTCTTTCTCTTATATGTATATACATACGCATGTCTTAAATTCTTGTATGAATATAGAAAATGAGTATAATCGAATTTTCTAAATGCTTTAACAGTGGGGTGAGTATGTTAATATTCTATTTTCCAAAAGAAGAGAAAGATGAAGAGTTTGTAAGTTGTGGCGTCGAAATTGGTGGCTGGACGGAGGAGAAATCTTTGTTTAAAATTGGCTGCTCGTGGAGGTCGTGAGGGAGAAGAAAAATTTGGGTTTTTAAAAACTAAACTTTGAAATATTTACGGTTATGCCATTGAACTTCCGTAGATCATAATTTTTTCGTTACAACTTCGATTTGACGTGCTCTACCCAAATTCCTTGCCGAAATTGTCTTTTATTTGAATAAATTAATAATTAAATATTAATTTAGGATCAGATTACTCCAAAAAATTTAGAAAAATTACATAGGCATATTCAATGTCTTAGCTTCATTGTCCAATTGGCTTTGCCCAAAAATTCCACCAAAAGGTCGTATTTTTATTGAAAATTGATTGAGTCACCATTGCACTCTTTTGCATATTTTTCTATGAATTGAAAGTCACCATTGTTATCTAAAATTTAATGAATTGAATGAAAAACACAAAAAAAAATAAAAGCACAAGTTTAATTAAAAAACATAACCAAATTATAGGGTAGAGTACAAAATGAAATACAATTATGCACTAATCATTTGTGTACAGTAATACAAAACTGTCATGCCTCAATCACTTTGTTGACGAAATGGGCATGTCACATTTCTTCCACTCGTCTATACAATTAGCATGAAAATTTAGGGTTTAGCCTAAATCCTATGAAAATAATGGTTGCATTTTGATTTAGTTCTCAATATTTCCTTTGGCATATGTGTTGTCATTAGGGTGGGTTTAGGCCCAATGAATTGATGGTGTGATCATCAAGGCCAATTTTGACAACGGGTGATTGTTGGTTGGTTACGGTGGAAAATTCTACCGTGTTGAATTGGTGGGGTTGATCAACCCGACCACAAGCCCTCTATCCTGATCGCTACAAACACAAAGATGAACAAGAACAGCCTTGTGATTCCCATACATATCATCGTACTTTCCAGTTGAAATACCTGAGAAAAAGAATGGGTATTGGAATGATTTCAATTCCTATTTTTATTGTGTTTTATTAATTACTAGATATTGAAATGATTTCAATTTATGGCTTTCCGTGCGTTGACTAATACATAATGAATAAAAAATTATGTGAGTTCTACGTTTAAATTCGTAATCAAATACCCTCAAAATGAAGAATGAGATCATGGGAAATAGTTGATTTGATTTCCTATCTGAGTTTCCTGATTCATGACTTCCCTTATTCATAACTTCCCTTATTTTTGGCGGGTAAACATTAGTCAAGAATATGTCAATATCTACCATATGATAAAACATACCTTTATTTGAATCAGGATAAATAGTACTAGAGCACGTAAGCTTGGAACTTGAACCATTCTCCAACCCACAAACTTTACTCGGAACTGCTTCACAAAAATAACAATTAGGCACATTCCATGCCAACTCAAAACCGTAAGTATCAAGACTGTCCCACTGAAATGGATTTTCCAGTGGAACCAAAATTGTGGAAATCACTGAACAAAGAGATGAAGGGTCCGGATCAATCCACTCCTCACCATGTAATTTTCATTGCTAAGGCAGTAGATAAGTGGATAGGATGTTTCCACGTTGGACTAGCAATTCAGGAAGGTGAAGTTTTTAAGGGCAGGACCGTATGAAAATGGTGAACTTATAAGACTGAAGTCATTGTCGATGACCTGCCTAGGGAAGCACTTGTCCCCGTCGGCGATCCATACCTACCTTCTGGTTAATGTAGTTGATATATTGGACGATGAAGTGCCCGTAAGATGATGGGAGAGTGAGAATGGTTTGCCTTTGGTTTGCACCGCTGCATGAGAGATCAAACCCTTGATACCCACAATTTGAGGAGAGGTTTTTCGTCGTCTTTGGTTTGGAATGGGGTAGCCTCCCCTCCTCTTACTTTGCATTACCAAAAAAATAAGGTTTAAGTTGGGATGGGGTAGCCTACCCGCAATTGTTGCGATGTAGCTAATTTGGGCCTATCCTTTGCCTTGGCGATATATTGTTTACTAGGTTCTGGAGTCCCTCCTTGTTGGAATGCGCACAATTCTACAAGAAGGCTAGGGAGGGTCGGAAGACCTCGAGATATTTGTATAGGAAGTTTTGTTTTGGATTAAATAAGATAAGGGTAAATTACTCAAATGGTCCCCAAATTTGTACGCGATTTACATTTTGGGGCTTGAATTAAATTTTTCGTTCAAATGGTCTATCAACTCTACATTAATTACTCAAATGGTCCCACCGTCTAATTTTCTGTTAGATTTAACCAAATTTTAGGGTAAATAATGACGAATTTGCCCTCATATTTAACGGAAATATTAACAGAATGTAACGGTGGGACCATTTGAGTAATTAATATAGAGTTGATGGACCATTTGAAAGAAAAATTTAATTCAGGCCCCAAAATATAAATCGCATCTAAGTTTGGAGACCATTTGAGTAATTAACCCAATAAGATAAAGTTAAAATCATGACAACTATTGTTATAAAAAAAGATAAGTTTTTGGTTGAGCGGGTTACGAGAGTTGTTGTGGCCCTCCCTCTTCCCCTTGCTTGGCATCAGGATCGAAATCCCAAGGTATTTTTCCTCCAAATGTAACAAAAAAGACAAAGATAAGTTTCTTTTGGTTGGAAAAGAATTAAAAAGATAAGTTAGCAATATAATTCCACAGCTTCAAAGTTTCACTTTTTTTTCTCCCAAGTCTTCAAAGTTTCACACTGACAAAGCAATAATGCTGCTAAGTACATTAATTATAAGAAAAAGAGGAAAAATATGCTGATACATAGATCTGTTTCATTCTTGTTAGGTTTTTTTGTTTGTTTGTTTTTTTGTTGCCATGATCTCTCCTCTATTTCATTGAAGTTTATGCAAAGTACTTAATACAACATAACAATAATTATGCCTCAATAATCACTTTGTTACCCCCGAAAGGGTTTCGACAAAGCGGGCACGTCGCACTTCTTCTAAGCCACTCGTCTATACAATTAGCATGGAAATAATGGTTGCATTCTGGAATCGTTCTCAATGTTTCCTTGGACTTGTATCTACCTAAACATATTGGACAAGTATTGTCATTTGGCTTGGGCAAATCCCAACTCTGACCAAGTTGAATCTTGGGATATGACTCGATAGTAGAATCATCCAGGCCCTTTCTAACTGCGGGAGGTTGTTGGTTGGTTATGGTGGATAATTCCACGATGGGTTGATGCACCCGATCACAAGTCCTCATGAGCCTTAGGAAAATCACAGTGGTAAAAAGTAGCCCTAGAACTCCCAAGGATGTTATTACAGCAATCTCTGAAGTTCTTGATGTACCTGAAAAAGTTGAAATCAACATGAATTCAATAGCATTCCATTAGTTCATGCTAAGTGATAACTTTTAGGATGTGTGTGTATATTATATGATAGATGTAAGGTCTTTTTTTTTTTTTTGAAGTACAAAAGAAAATTACAGAGAAAAATCCCGAAAAATTCCTAAATTCCTTTGATCAAACAACAGTCACATTTGGAAAAAAATTAAACCAAATACAAAGATTTTTTTTAATGACAAAGGCAGAGGCCCTAGGTTAATGATATATGTAAGTTGATGTAACATAAACATTGTTCGATGAACATACCGTTATTTGAAGAATAATACGTATAAGTATCAAAGCACATAAGGTTGAAGCTTTTAGCATTCTCAAACCCACAAACTTTTCCCAATCCTTCACAAAAACGACAATCGGGCTTATCCCATGCCAACTCTACACCATAAAGATCAATAATGTTCCAATCGAATGGATCTCCCAGTGGAACCGAAACTGTTGAAAGCACAGAACACGAAGGTGGCACCGTCGAATACGACGACGGCACAGCAGTGATCACGTACTGCTCAATATTGCTAAGGCAAGAGATGGGTGGATATGGTATTTCTGCGTAGGAGGAGCAATTGAGGAGCGTGAAGTTTACAAGATCTTTCGCATATGAGAAAGGTGAACCTTTTAGGCTCAAGCCATGGTCGAGGAACAACCTAGGGAAGCAGCTATTGAGGTCAGTGATCCATACGTTTTGGTTAATATAATCTACGGTTTTGACTATGAAGTCTCCGGAAGATGGGAGAGTGAGAATGGCTTCATTTTGGTTGTTGCATTTGAGATCAAAGCTTTCTGAGTACCCACAAAGGGAGGGTTGAAGGTTTTGTAGCCGGAAAGGGAATCGAATCCATGGTGGGCTATCGAAAGAGCACGTAGATTCGCTACAAATGGGGGCGCTTGCGCCGATATGATGAACGAAGAAGAAGAGCAAGAGGAAGGTGATCAAGAATTGTAAGGTAGACATGGTGAAATGAAAACTAGACCAATATTTTTTGGGTAATAAGTTCATGACCGGCCTATTATGCCTGTGGGAATAAACACAACACGCCAAATATAATCAACGTCACTTTCTATGTGTTCATTGAAATCCATCCAAATACACACATAGGAATCATAGCAACACACGACAACATATATTAACATGTTTTGGGTTAATATATCATGCACTTAAATATATTAACTTCGTAGATTAGCTTCAAGGAAATTACCAAAAACGAATCAAATTTGTTTCCGTTGAACCAACAGTTCTATGAGGCCTTGATACAGTCGCATATTTCGTGTCGATCTTCCTTGTCGTTTGAATACCGGCTGAGGCTCTGTATAGCGTCACAGCAAGTCTGCGGTGGCTTCACGTCATTATTTTGTTGCTTGGCGCAAGGGCTCAACGTTTCGAGGATGGTTTCGCAGGAAGGTAGATCACCCATGGCTGACACAGAAACCAGTGACATGATCACAATAGTGATCTTGGTTAGACGAGTCATATTTGGCCTCACTTCTAATGGCTTATAATTTTTGTAGGCTGTGTTGGTATGGGGGAAGTATATATATATAGATGTATGGAGTAATTTATTGTTGCGGCTAATTTCATCATGATTCCTGTGAATATTAGGCTCCACAATATAGTAGGAAATTATGTTTTCGTGTGGCTGGGATTTTGCTGTCACACCACTCGTGCTCATAAAAAATGTGTAAAAAATATTTATAAATTTATATCTGAGATAAAAGAGCTAATTAAATAGGTTTATATATTTATCCCCAACGTGAGAGTTGGTGTGTTTTTTTGGGCGGAGAGGGAATCGAAGTCCATGTGGGACACCACAATGTGGTAGCTACGTGAGGAAGGAAGAAGAAGATAAGAATGTGATTAATTCAAAGGAAAAGACATATGATCATATGATCACATGAGCTATGTATTAATTATATGCAACCATTGCACAAATTATTCATTTTACATTTCATTTTACAAATTATTTATTTATTCCATTGTCTGCTGAAGCATTATGCCTTCCATCAAGTCTTCACTTAACCCTGTAATATATTCAAGAAACCAAAATCAGAAATTAGTTCTTTTCATATAAAACATTTGCATCATGATATGAAATTAGATATAGAATTTAGAGCAGAGATGGTTAATTACTGGGAACAATCGGTGCCGCTAGAGATGGGTGGAAGTGTGAACGATAGGCCACAAGTTTTGGGAAGAGAAGAAATCTTAGAGAAATTATCAACAGGTGCCCCCATCAAAATTGCTGCAGCCTTGACGCAGTCACATATATTTTGTTGGCCTCCCTTGGCGTTTGTATACTGTGCGAGGTCCAGGACACCATCACAGCAAACCTTGGCTGGATTCACCTCACCTTGAAGTATGTAGGGAAGGCAAGGGGTCAAGTGGTCGAGGATGATGTTGCAGTAGGGCGATTGAGGATCAGCACCCATGGCGGCCCCAGAAACCATTGAGATGATCACAACGGCTATGATCTTTGTGATTGGATGCATCATGTTTGGCCTTATAATAGACTTTGATGTAGAGAACTTCAAAGTATTTGTATGATCTATATGTGTTTCTAAGGGACAAGTTCATATATATAGTATGTATACATGTTGATGTAAGAATTTCATGTTCCATATATTAAGACTTGAAAGTTTCAGATATGCAGGAAAATGCATTTTTCATGTGCAGGCTGTTGCATCTGTCACAGAAGTAAAAAGAAAGTGATAACAATTGGGCTCTTGCTTTAAAGATTATTGCCCGGTTTTGATTCTTGACCAAGTTGACATTTTCGTGTATTCAATTAAGAGTTTAAAAGAGTTTAAAAGAGTTTAGAAGTTTGGGTGTATTCAATTCAGATTTTAAAAGAGTTCGTAAAAGTTTGGGTGTATTCAATTCAGATTTCAATTGATATTAAAAAAATACATCGAAATCTAGGTGTATTCAATGATGACTTTTTAAAAGTCAAACAAAATTTAGGTGTATTCAAAAAGTAATTTATTTTGAAGGAATTAATGAGTTGCCTGATTTCGTTAGAAATTAAAGTGGTAAGTATAAATACAAAAGGCTTTGACAAATCTTATGTGAACCCTAGAAACTTTGAACATGCTCTACGCTTTCCAGTCCTTGAACGTGTTTGCAAAATCTTTGCTCTTTTTCTACGCTTTCTACGCTTTATAGTGCTTGAATAATTGTTGTTGGTATACATCATCATATATCCAAGCAATTGATGTTGCTTGTATTCGATGCATCATGTATGAATCGTTGGTGTTTCTTGAATACTTATTGTTGCCATCATCAAATATCAATGAATAGTACATCATCATCATATTTATTGCTGTGCATGTACTTTTTCTACGATTTTTCTACTTTTCATTCTTTTCAATTTTTTTTTTCTTGAATAGTTTTTTGGTTGCTGTTTTTTTTTGTTTCTGTACTTTTTCTACATCATCCTTTTACTTTGGTTGTTGTTCATCAAATATCGATAGCCTTCTTCATCTACAATCATCCTTTTTTTTGTTTTGTGTTTCCCTTCTTTATCAATGTACAATATATATATATATATATATATATATAT